AGTATTGGTTCAGTAGGTGTCGAAGTCAAATTATAGTCTTCCATATCAAACCTCTTGAGTATCTTGCTTGCATATCTTTTTTGATGCATCATCCAGGCTCTACTACTCTTGCAGAATTCGATGCCAAAGAAGTATGAAATGCCACCCAGATTAGAAATTTCGAATTCCTTGCTAATATTACCTTTGAAGTCTTCGATCTCTTTCTTGCAACTACTTGTTATCAACAAGTCATCAACGTAGAGACATAGTATAAGCAATTTGCTCTTGCTTCTTCTTACGTATACTTCATACTCAGTTGCGCACTTCACAAATTTCTTCTCCCTTAGAAAGCAATCTATCTTCTTATTCCAAGATCTTGGCGTTTACTTAAGTCCACATTGTCGCAACTGCGAAAAACACCCGGTGGAAAAACAGAAGAGTCCAATTCTCGTCTAGCCAACCGTTCATCCGAGGTCCAGTCCCCATCTGACAAACCTTCATGAAATACTAGTTCTCACCTGGTAAACATCAACTTGTAAAAAACCAGTTCACGTCCGGTCACCTTTTCTTTTCACAACCAGTTCCCGTCCGGAAATTCATATCAAGATACCAGTTCTCGTTTGGTAGGAAGTTTTTACACCAATTCATGTCTGGTCACCCTTTCTTTCAAATTCAGTGCTTGTTTGATAAACCAAGAAAGAGGTCAGTTCTCGTCTGACAACTTAATCTTCGTCCACCAATTCTCGTATGGTAGTCTACTTTTAAAAACCAGTTCCCGGATGGCAAATCGCTTTTAAACTAGATCTCGTCTGGTCACCATATCTTTGGCCTGTCTTTAACACTGGTTTCTGTCTGGTAAAAACTGTTTCGAAGTCCAGTTCTTCTCTAAAAAATCAAAAAATTAGTTCTTGTTCAATACAAAAACAAGAATTCAGTTCTCGACTGACAATTTAACCTTTCGCCACCAGTTCTCGCCTGGTAGTATACCCTTTCAAACCAGCTCTTGCTTGGTGATTTACATCCAAAGCCCAACCGTTTTCGGAACAATCGTAATTCTTAGATCGGGCATCCTCATATCCCCAGCAGATTCGCCAGCTGTCGCAACTGCGAAAAACACCCGGCAGAAAAATAGAAAAGTCGCCACCGAACGTTATTTATCCCAAAGAGGGGGAAAGAAAACGATCAAAGAAAACCTAAAGAACAGGAAAAGACAAGGTCATCGTAACCAAATCTTGGGTTCGGGAGTCAGTTACGCAAGGGGAAGGTATTAGCACGCCTCACGTCCGTTGTACTCAACGGGATCAACGCTTGTTGTCTAATCAAATGGTGTGGTTATCTATAAGCTATTGCTAAGCGGAAACGAGAACAAAATAAAAAAGAAAAAGACTCGATAGGAGATCGCCGCCCTATGCCTACGTATTCCCTCGTGCAATGGGAAAGTCAGAATCAACGTAGTTCGGAAAACTAGAATTGCCAACCTTCAAAACTAAGATTTGCTTTGGTGAGTGTTGATTCACTTGAAATTAACATATCCAAGCTAGAAACCCAGAGAATCTTCAAGATCCAAGAGCTTCCTTATGGTAGAAATGAAGAATAAGCAAGATCAAGCAAAATCGACTCAAAAAAAACACTTCTAATCTAGCTTCCAAATTCAAATCTCAATTCAAACGAAAATTGAATGGTGAATTGAACATAATGTAGATGAAAAATGGAGGTTTAACTCTAGAATTTAAGGATTCCAATGAAGAGTCAAAGAACTCAAGTGAAAAGAGCTTTAATGGAGGTTTTGGGAGTGAAAAAATGGATAGAAAGTTGAGAGCAAATTCTCAAGAATGAGTGTGAAATCTGAAAATGAAGGTTAATTGTGTGAGGTTTGGAGCAAATTCACTTAAATAAGGTCTAGGCTTAAAATCTAAATATGGTTTGGAATGTGGATTAACATTTGGAATGGAAATTAGGAGTGGAATTAGGAATGAAGTGTTTGAAATTTGGAGGGAAATGGTGAAAATTGAGGCAATTCTAGATCCTTCCAATGATGATCATGCGAAATCAATGGTTAAAAATGATTAGAAAACTTGCAATGCTGAAAATTCAAATTCTTTGGCCAATTTCGTTTTAAGTAACCAGTTACCCTATATGCAGTAATCGGTTACCACATTCAAAAATGCCCATATTGGCGCCATATGGAGGGAATCCTGTACAACAACCTGTTGCCACCTATTATGAGTTCGTTAATCCTCTAAAACTTGCCCTTGGATATCATAACTGTGAGAAAACCTGAGATAACCTGTACACAGTCTCTCGAGCTGAAAATAATCTGCTGAAAAGAATAAAATTGGTCGCTCGATCGCTGTGCAAAATAAATGTCGGAGCCTCTGACGCTCGCTGTTTAAACTCTTACAACGAAAGGGAACCCTGGGCCACAAAACACCCTGATCCCATGCCTCAAGAACCAATGTTATGATATGTAGAAATGAAAAATGCAGAGAAACAAAAGTCAGTTATGGTTAAAATGAAAGGGCAAATTTTAGGGTGCTACACATAGGGCTTTATGTAACATTTATACTTTGCTTTCTTTGCCTTGCTTTAAAAATCCAACTGGTTGTGAACCATAAACTTCTTCATCTAAAGGGCCATTCAGGAATGCATATTTCACACCCATCTGGCACATATGCCAGTTGTTCATGTTTGTTAAACCAATAACCAACCTGATTATTTTGATCCTAGCAACAGGTGTAAAGACCTCGTCGAAGTCAATTCCTTCTTTCTGAAGAAATACTTCACCATAAGTTTTTTCCTTGTGTCGAGTTACTTCTCCTTTAGGATTCAACTTCACCTTGTACACCCACTTCACATTGAGTGCCTTCATGCCTTGAGGTAATTCAACAAGTGACCAAGTGGTATTGACTTCGATATATTTGAGTTCCTCATTCATTGGTTTCATCCACTTAGAATTCTTAAATGCTTCAGCTGCATTAACTGGTTTGAGATCTACATAGAAAATATAGCGTACCAACTCATCTTCACCATCAACCACATCACCTGATGTAATCACACATTCTTGCAACCTTGCAGACATGTGTCTTGTTCTTTGAGATTTGATTGTGCTTGCTTGACCTCTGACTTCTTGTTGTTGAACTTCTCTTTCGACTTTACTTGTTGGTTCTTCACATACGATTCTCAGTGAATCCTTTTTGACATTTTTAGTCTAATCCCATTCCTTAAGCTCATCTATGATCATGTCCCTGATGATCACTTCTTACTTACTCACTGGGTCGAAAAACTTGTATCCTCCAGTCGAATGATATCCTATTAGGATCATTTGACTTGACTTGCCATCAAGTTTTCTTCTCAACTGATCAGGCACATGTCTATGTGCTATAGATCCAAATAACCTCAAATGACTTAAGCTAGGCTTGACAGCACACCAACATTCTTTTGGCATGGTTCCTTTTAGGTTCTTCGTCATACATTTGTTCAGTACGTATATTGCATTCGACACAACTTCTCCCCATATTTCTTTAGGTAAATGTTTGCCTTTCAACATACTTCTAACCATGTTTATGGTGATTATGTTCTTCCTTTGTGTAGTTCCATTCTGATATTGAGTGTAGTGTGAAACCACCTCATGCACAATCTCCTCTTTCTCATATAATGTGTCGAAGTCTTTCAAGACATATTCTTCACCACCATCAATCCTTATAATCTTGAGCTTTCGACCACTTTGTCTTTCGACTAAAGATTTAAACTTGGCAAATACCTCGATCACTTCACTTTTCTTCTTGATCAGATAAGTCCACAGTTTTCGACTGAAATCATATATGAATGTGACAAAGTATCTATTACCTCCAATCAATCCACCTCGATATGACCACACACATTAGCGTATATGATTTCAAGAAATGCCTTCGACTTCCTTCCTGCATTCTTGCTGAATTTGTTCTTGTGTCATTTTGCCTGCACACATTCCTCAGACACTTTATTTGGAATGTAGATTTCTAGTAACCCTAAAACCATATTTCTTTTTTTCAAATCTCTGATGTCTTTGAAGTTGATATGACCAAGTCTATAGTACTATATCCATTCATCCCTACTAACTGCAGTTGTAAGAAACTTGTGCTGCATCACATTCCATACATTTTTGTAATGCCAAACAATGGAACATACAACCATTTCTCTCCATTACATTCTATTTCATTCATTTTCATCAATCCAAACAGATACTCAAGGTGATATGTATATAATTTTTCTCAATTATAAAATGGTCAATTTTAATTTTTCCAATCAATATAAAATTTCAACTTCAACGTTTATTTTTTAATATTTTTAATCACACTTATTTCTCTCACGAAACATTATAACATTTCTTTAACGTTACAACTTTCTTTTGAGTCATAAAAATTACTACCACGAGATGTTTATAATCAATTTTAAAATTATAATTACTATAATTGAATATTATTTAATTAATTTAAATAAATTTATTAACATTTAAAATTTTGTAAGATATTAATATTTCATATATAACTAACTTAAAATATTTAAAATAATTAACTGTAAAAAATCATTAAATATATTTTTTTCGAAACAATTATATATATATATATATATATATATATATATATATATATATATATATATATATATATATATATATATATATATATATATATTTATTTATTTATTTATTTATTTAAATTAGATAAAAGTATTATGAGTATCGCAAAAGAGAGATTCGTGCAGATATACTGGTTTTATAAAAAATAAAAAAACTCAAATCTGGAGTAGGGTCCATAGAGGAAAGAGTGTGGATAAAACGCGCGCTACACAGGCCAATCAAAACTCACAGAAACACATCCCAAACAATTTTTCTCTCTCTAAAACCCATCATCATCTTCACACCGAGTGTGTGCCTGTGTGTGGAAGGAAGGGTCAATTTTATTACACCGTTTTTCTCTTTTCCCCTTCCTCCTCCGCTTTCTATCTTTCAAATCCAATTCTAGGGTTAGGGTTCTTATACAATGGCCGTTTCAACCACTTTCTCCGCTCCCAAATTCGACTCTCTTTTCCTCAAATCTTCTTCAAGGCCATCACCGTCCACTCAATCCCATTTATCACTTCTCGGAAAACCTAGAACCACCTTCATTCATAAAGGAATTATTCGTTGTGATGCTCAAAATTCTGTTCAAAATAATGGCAGTAGTAGCTCCCTCTCTCCTCTTGAGCTCCTCAAAACTTCTTCAGCTGATAGTAAGTCAAGGCTTCACTTCAAATAATTGCATTCATTTTTCGTATTATATGCCCTATTATAGCTAATGCAAATGCAGGGAATTGCATTATTGATGAAAATGTTGTTTTTTGTGGTGATTTTTTTTACCTGCTACTAACCTTTAGCATTGAATTTTAATGTTTTATCTCTTTTTTCACTAATTATTTTGAGTCTATTTACTTCATAGAGGAGACATGCGATGTTGTACGAATTCGACTGCTGGACATTGTTGCTTTGGATGTGTGGTAAGACTAGACAAAATAAGATTAGAAATGAAAATATTAGAGAGTGTTGGGGTAGTGTATATACTAGAGAAGATGGTGGAAAATAGATTTAGGTGGTTTGAGCATGTAGAGAGAAAACCTGTAGACTCTGTGGCATGGAGAGTAGATCAGAGAGAAGTTGAACAACTAAAGAAAGAGGAAGATTCTGTGGCATGGAGAGTAGATCAGAGAGAAGTTGAACAACTAAAGAAAGAGGAAGACCTAGAATGACTATAAGAGAAGTTATTAAGAAAAATCTCAAAATTAACGATTTTGATAGAAGCATGGTTCTAAATAGAACATTATGGCTAAAGTTGATCCATGTAGCCAACCCCACTTAGTGGAATAAGGTTTTTGTTGTTGTTGTTGTTGTTACTTCATAGAGGAGATCTGTTTCTGTGTGTTATATATTTTTTTTACTGGTTGGGCTTTTATGCTGCATCACTGATTACAAATCAATGTTTCTAAGACTTGTAGCTTTTGTGATATGTGTGGCAACGTCTAGAGGTTTATTTACCGAAGGAAAGAAAGAAAGACGAGATTATGTGCTTTTCATTGGTCGATGATTTGTCATGGTTAATTTTCTGAAACTTGCAAGTTGAGAGTTTTTAGTAATTTATACAATTAAATTTAACAGGATATACGAAGGAAAGGAGCAGCATTGTTGTCATAGGGCTCAGTGTGCATACTGCTCCGGTGGAAATGCGTGAAAAACTTGCCATACCGGAAGCAGAATGGCCTAGGGCTATTGCAGAGCTGTGTAGTCTTAATCATATTGAAGAAGCAGCTGTTCTGAGCACCTGTAACCGAATGGAGATATATGTTGTTGCTCTATCCCAACATCGTGGTGTCAAAGAGGTCATGGAATGGATGTCGAAAGTAAGTAGCAAGTTTATCTCCTAAATGGTATTTGTAGTGCATTGCAAATTTTTTTAAAATCCATGTTCTTGTTTGCAGACAAGTTCCGTTCCTGTTTCAGAGCTTTGTGAGCACCGGTTTTTACTTTACAACAGAGATGCCACACAACATATTTTTCAAGTATCAGCGGGTCTTGAGTCTCTTGTTTTGGGAGAAGGTCAAATCCTTGCTCAGGTTAAGCAAGTTGTCAAAGTTGGACAAGGAGTTAATGGATTTGGAAGAAACATTAGTGGTCTATTCAAGCATGCAATAACTGTCGGAAAAAGGGTTAGAGCCGAGACTAATATTGCTGCTGGGGCAGTTTCTGTAAGCTCAGCTGCCGTTGAGTTGGCCTATATGAAGCTACCTGGATCCTCTCATGATAATGCGAGAATGCTGGTTATTGGTGCTGGGAAGATGGGAAAGCTAGTGATCAAACATTTGGCTTCAAAAGGTTGCCCAAGTGTGGTGGTTGTCAATAGAACTGAGGAAAGAGTTGCAGCAATACGCGAAGAACTGAAGGATATTGAAATAATTTACAAACCTCTTTCAGAAATGCTCTCCTGTGCCGGTGAAGCAGATGTGGTATTCACCAGTACAGCATCAGAAACCCCATTATTTGTGAAAGACGACGTCAAGGACCTTCCTCCAGCAAGTCAAAATGTTGGAGGCCATCGCCTTTTCATTGACATTTCTGTTCCTCGGAATGTTGGTTCGTGTGTCTCGGAGGTTGAATCTGTGCGACTTTACAATGTTGATGACCTTAAAGAGGTTGTGGCTGCAAACAAAGAGGACCGACTAAGAAAAGCAATGGAAGCACAGGTGATCATTAGTGAAGAGTTAAACCAATTTGAAGCTTGGAGGGACTCGTTGGAAACTGTTCCTACCATTAAAAAATTGAGGGCCTATGCTGAAAGGATCAGGGTTGCAGAGCTTGAAAAATGCTTGGGTAAGATGGGCGATGATATCACAAAGAAGACGCGGAAAGCTGTGGATGATCTCAGTCGGGGTATTGTGAACAGGATGCTTCATGGTCCAATGCAACATTTAAGGTGTGATGGGAGTGACGACCGGACTCTAACTGAGACCCTTGAGAACATGCATGCTTTGAACAGAATGTTCAGCCTTGAGACTGAAATATCTGTTTTGGAGCAAAAGGTTCGAGCAAAGGTGGAACAAAACCAGAAATGAGATGGATCCAACACCATTTTCTTTGACGACACACATTTGTTTCTTTCATTAGAATAAGAGGAAACAACACCCTCGCCATTTTAGGATTTAAAATGGTTGTATATTTAGTTGCATAGTTGAAACAGTAGAAGTCTCCCCAGTGGAGCTTCAATTGATTGTTGTGTCTATGCATCTGCTAGACCAAAGTTTGGGCTTTTGGCTTATGTGTTTACACATCCATCTGGTTTTGTATTATACCGAAATGAACATGTTTTTATGAGCTTTGTATTTACCACAAACAATATTTACATAAAATGTATCCAGTTATTATTGTAATTAATTGCATAAACTAACAGCATTACTCCTTTATCCAGGAATCACAAAGCTAAAAGCTAGGATACTGTATAGTTACTTTTACATTCATCACATATTTTATTGTTAATGGGGGGGAGATGCTAAAGTGATGAGCAGAATGAAAATTGTAAGATTTAATTGGATTTTTGTCCTAATTAGATAAAATGTAATTGGATATGATTTCACTATCATCTCAGCTTTTAGAAAGATGAAAAATAAAGAAAGTGAACATGGAAGAAGAGAGAAAATATTTTTAATATTGTTAACATGAATAAGTTCAAATTTTGGGCTTAACAACACCAACGCTGTGTTTATACTTTTGTTTCAGCAGTCATGATGATAAAAAGGTGAAAAATATGGCTTCGCCCGGACTCGAACCGGAGACCTTCAGTGTGTTAGACTGACGTGATAACCAACTACACCACGAAACCAATTGTGATGCGTTTCCATATTTTTCTTTGAACAATAGATCCTTCAGACTGGTGAACAAGCATTTCATTACTATCTTTAGAAATTCATTAGGAAAAAAACAGTGAGTAGGTGTAACAGAGAATGCTTCAGACAATGATAGAAACTGATAAATACTTGCTTGTCATCTGACTGTAAACTCAACCATAGTATATCAATAAATCATCAAAAATATCAAGTATATTAGAAAACAACTTTCATCATAAAATACCATGTATCTTCGTGCACACAAAGATCAATTATGTTAAATTTTTACATTATTTGGAAGAATCAGTTCTGCTGTAAATTTACTCAATCATAGGTCAATTAGAAGTTACTTAAGTTGATGGCTGGATATTACAGCTAACTTTGTGAATGGTTACTACTACTAGCTATAGAAGCTAGTTAATTAGTTTTGAGAGATAGTCTATAAAAAGAATGGCCAATGCAAGGACAATAAGCACATTCAATGCTACAAAGGTGAAAAATTGGGTCATTATGCCTCAAATTGTTGGTACAACAAAGGAAAGGAAAAGATTCATGACAATGATTATGAATCAAAAATGGCACAGGATGACTCTGATGATTGAACTATAGTTTTCATGGCTGCAATTTCTGAAGATCAACATTAAGCTGGACCATAGTTTCTAGATACAGGTTGTTCAAATCATATAACAAATCATAAGAACTGATTGGTCAAATTCTACAACACAATAAAAAGTAAGGTGAGGCTAGCCGATAGTAGATTATTACAAGCCGAAGGCATCGGAAACATGGTGATTGAGAGGAATGATGGAAGATCAACAAGGGTATGCTGTTTGTACCAGGTATGAATCACAATTTATTGAGTGTTATCCAACTCATAGATAATGAGTTCTCAATAGTTATGAAGAATGATGCTTTTGAACTATATGATGTTACAAATGACTGAATTTGGAGCTTGGTGTTAGAACATAGAAAACAAAAAATATTCTAAGAGGCTACAAGATTAAGAACAGGTAAATGACAATGAGGCGACAAAAGAAGGTGACTTAGTGCATATTGAATTGTTATCAAATTCTGAATCTATCAATCATCATGAAGTTTTAACGAATGAAGCATGAAAAATAACCATGAAAGAAGAATTGAATGCCATTGAAAGAAACAATACATGAGAGTTATTTAAGTTACCATATAATAAGAAAGTTATTGAAGGAAAGTGGGTGTTCAATTGTAAAACACAAAATAAAGTTAGTTGATAAAGGATTTCTTCAAAAAGATCGTCTTGACTATTGAGAATTTTGTGCTTAAGTAACTAAAACTAAAACAATTAGACTTATAACAGTTATTACAAATGCAAGAAGTTGATCCATGTTCCACCAAGATGTCAAGTCAACATTTTGTATGAGTTTATTGTAAAACTTATTCTTGTTACCGAACCACCATAATTTGTTTTCAAAGGAAAAGAATACATGGTATATAGGTCGGATAAATATTTCTATGGATTAAAGCAAACACCTAGAGCATAGAACAAAATGTTGGAATTCAACCATAATCTATGGTGAATTCTTCTCGATCTTGATCTCAAGATCGTTATGTAATGACAATGAACAAAAATAAAAACACGTTCAAAGAAGATGAATATTAACTGCAGAGTAACTCTCTGTCCACAACTGTGAAATTTTATTATCACTTTGCAACTGCAAAACCGTGATTATCAAACTTGATGATTACACTGATAAGGGTTCCTCCCTATTTATAGGTTTAGGTTAACTTGCATCTCAAGCTAAAACCCAAACTATAAAAGCCCAAAAATATCTAATATTTCTAAATCAAATATAATCTTTCTAAATCAAATAGAATCTTTCTAAAACAAAGAATTACATATTTAACAAACCACCTAATTCATTATTTCTAAACTTTCTATATTCATCATAGACCTTAACTTCTTGAACACTTCGACTGACACTCCCTTCGTCATGATGCCTGCAATCTGATTCTCAGTTTTGCAGTGTTCCAACTTTATCTTCCCTTCTGCAACCTGTTCTCGAAGATAATGGAATCCCATTTCGATGTGCTTGCTTCGATTGTGTTCTATTGGATTCTTCGCCAAGTTGATAGCTGACCTACTGTCGACCTTCATGGTAATTGCTCTATGACTCTTCGCTGTGATCTCTTCGGCCAGGTTCACCATCCAGGTTACATGACATGCACAAAGAAAACAGCTATATATTCTGCTTTGCATGATGATAATGCCACTACTGGCTCCTTTCTCGAACTTCAAGTAACTGATGCACCACTTAACATAAACACATAACCAACTGTGAATTTTCTATCCTCAGCATCACTACACCAACTAGAGTTGATGTATCCCACTAACTTGCATTCTTTTCCTTAATCATCTGCAAGAAAAAAAATGTCGTAGTCGACAGTCCATTTCAGATACCTCAGTATCATCTTCGTTGCTGCTAGGTGTGATACCTTTGGCTTCTGCATGAATCTGCTTACCATACCCACATTGTATGCTAAGTCAGGGTTGTGTGACAAAGGTATCGAAGTAACCCAATAAGTCTTCTATATTGGGTTGGGTCAACATCATCTTCATCTGGCTACTTCGATAGTTGCAATCTGGTCTCAGCTGGATTCGAAGTTGGGTTGCAATCTTGCATCTCAAATCTCTTGAGTATTTTGTCTGCATATCTTCTTTGGTGCATCATCGAACCTCTACCAGCCTTGTAGAATTCGATGCCAAAGAAATATGAGAGATTTTCCAAGTCTAACATTTCAAATTCCTCACTTAGGTCATGTTTGAATTTATTGACCTCCTTCTTGCAACTTCCTGTTATCAACAGGTCATCGACATAGAGATATAATATAAGCAATTCACTATTGCTTCTCCTTACATATACTCCATGTTTAGTTGTGCACTTTACAAATTCCTTCTCCCTTAAGAAGCTGCCGATTTTCTTATTCCAAGCTCTTGGAACTTGCTTAAGTCCATACAACGCTTTATGCAACATGTACACCTTTCTTTCTTCACCTTGTTTCACAAACCCATCTGGTTGTGCAACATAAACTTCTTCGTCTAAGGGGCCATTAAGGAATGTACAATTTACGTCTATCTGACATGTGTCAGTTATTCATATTTGTTAGACCAACAACCAACCTGATTGTTTCGATCAAAGCAACAGGTACAAACACTTCGTCGAAGTCGATTCCTTCCTTCTGAAGAAATCCTTTCGCCATAAGTCTCACCTTGTGTCGAGTTGCCTCTCTTTTAGGGTTCACTTTCACCTTATAAACCCATTTCACATGAACTACCTTCTTGCGTTCAGGAAATTCGATAAGTGACCAAGTGTTATTGACTTCGATGAACTCTAGTTCCTCATTCATTGCTTTCACCCACTTCGAATGTTTCAATGCCTTAACTGCATTGGCTGGTTTGACATCTGCATAAAAAACATAGTGTACTAGCTCACCTTCTTCATCGATCACATCATCTGATGTAATCACACATTCTTGCAACCTTGTAGGCATGTGTCTTGTTCGTCGAGGTCTGCTTAGGCCTGCTTCACCCCTGACTTCTTTTTGTCGAACTTATCTTTCGACTTCACTAGCTGGTTCTTCATATAAGATTCTCACTGAATCCTTCTTAACATTCTCAGTCCAATCCCATTATTTAAGCTCATCTATGATCACGTCCCTGCTGATCACAACTTGCTTGTTCATTGGTTCGATCAACTTGTATCCTCCAGTCGAATGATATCCTATTAGGATCATATGACTTGACTTATTATAAAGCTTCCATGTCAACTGATCTAGCACATGTCTATGTGCTATAGATCAAAACACCTTCAAGTGACCGAGGCTAGGCTTGACACCAGACCAATATTCTTTTGGTGTGATTCCTTCAATCTTCTTCGTCGGACATCTATTTAATATGTATGTTACCGTCGAAACCGCTTCTCCCCATAATTCTGTGGGTAGATGATTTTCATTAAACATACTTCTCACCATGTTCATGATAGTTCTGTTCTTTCTTTCTACAATTCCATTTTGTTATGGAGTGTAAGGTGGTACCACCTCATGCACAATCCCTTCTTTTTCACATAATGCATCGAACTCTTTTGACACATACTCTCTATCACCATCAGTCCTCAGAGTTTTCAACTTTTGACCACTTTGTCTTTCGATCATAGATTTGAATCTTGCAAATACTTCGATCACATCACTTTTCTTCT